CAATTGAAAGAACGATTTTTTAATTGTTGGACATTGAGACATGAACCTACGTTGATCGACGAGTGATGTGTTGGTGCTATTTTTTATGTGTCTTGCACTATAAATAATTTTTAAATATTATTGTAGGTCATTTATTGCATCAATTAGCAAAATAAAAAGTCAACAGCCACATTGCCCACATTTGAACATGCATAAAATCCATAGAATCTATAGTAGCGGCAGCAACAACAAATACTTGTAATCACTTTCTTATTTCACTTAAAGTCTAAATTACAATTTTTTTTTCCAACGACAGCAATATATTAACTCAAGAACAAGATTACAAATAGAATGTCAACTGACATTACAAGCTACAAGAAATTTAGTAGATCCAAGTAGGAGAGGGAGCCAAAAGAAAGATGTTTCTCCTTCCAAAGCAAAATAAACTAACTTATCACAGCAAGAATAGACAACCTTAGGGCAAAACTCAAACAAACATACTTCAAAGAAACAAGTTCCTTAACATGTATATATCTTAGGCTAATACATTTTTGCTTCTCGAGAAAGGGCATTTATGACTGAGAAACAAGTTCCTTAACATGTATATTATTTAATTTCATTTAATAAGAAATTAATTTTATTCCATATTTATTATTCCATGGAGAAGGGAATATTCCTACAAGAATATTGTCTAAGGTTAAGAGACTTGGGAGTCTTCTAGAAGGTGATATTAGGAGGAGAGTTCTTTCCTTGTTTGGATTAGTAGATGGAGTAGAATAGGATTCCTTGGCCTAATGGGATAAGCTCATATTTACCACCTCCTTAAGGTCCCTAATGGAGCCTATAAATACACCATGTCCCAAGCTCTTGTAAAAGCTTAAGTCTTGGCCGATTTTTCTCCTACATACGAGAGAAAGAGCTTCGTTCGAGAGTTAGGGAGATTCGATTAATCGCTCCACCAATTGGTCGAACTCGGTGTTTAGGTAATCCGTTAGAAGGTCTTTTGGTACAATATATTCAAACCTTCTAAAATTCATATTTTCGGCCATCCCCTGCCACCGTCCGCCACCGTCGACCGCTGCCAGAAATCGCCGTCGTCGTCCATCGCTGTCGGAAGCCACCCTAGCCCAGCCAATCGCAACCACGAGCTACCGCCCGCAGTCACGCCCAGCCAAACCCGATCCTAGCTCCCAGCAGCGACGCTGTAATATCCCGATATTTTATCGGTATAAATTATGTTTAGTTCCGATATAATAACGTTATCGATTATTATTTTCGGAATTAATTATGTTCAGTCGAGATTACCGAAATCTATTTTCGACGTACCGTTTACGTTCGGAATAATTTTGGTAATTAAGCATTATGTTTAATTAAATAATTAAACATAAAGTAAGTGATTAATTATAAATTAATCACAAGTTAAAGCCTTAAGCGTGACTTAGGGAAATTTTCCCAATTTGTAGCAAAAGGCCGTGAGTTTCTTCATCATGTGGTAAGCCTTTTTCCTCACTTTTGGGAGCAAAAACGTGGCAAGAGAATAAAGAGTTTAGTCACCCCAACTCAATTCATAAGCTAGCAAATGTCCAAGAGCTAAGGTGGCCACGACACACACATCATCTCCCCCTCCCTTTCGGCCATGTATAAAAAGAGGTACTTGGACAAAAATTTCCCCCATTTCCTTAAGACATCTTCAGCATATATTTCCCCTTCCAGCAGCAATTAAAAGTCAAGCAATATTCCCTCAATTTCTTGTAAACTTCGCACGGCAAATTAGAAGGCATCGCACGGCATACTCAAGGCAAAGGATCACGCCATATTTTTCCAATTCGGTCGAGCGATTTAAGAGGTAACGTCTTTCCCATCTTGTATTCACGTTGATAAGGGCATGTTAGGGTTAAGTGTTCGATCTATGTGCAAGAATTTCTAGAAAAGTCATGCTTAAGTCCGATCATGCTTAAGTAAGATCACGACCGAATAACTTTCGATTTTTCCCGGCAACTCTCGGACTATTAATGGATAAATGTTCAGCTTAGTTTATTTCATGTTCAATAAGTTCAGATTAGTCGAAGTCAAGTGAAGTTTTGTCGATAAATTGGCCCAAGGCGTCGCTAGCGCCTATCGCACGTAGCCACGGGCGGCCGCGGTCCATGTCTTAATGATTTCAGTAACAA